GGTCCCTGTGCTTTGCTAAGCTTGTTCTAAGTAGGTGCTTTAGACCACTGAGCCATCTCACCAGCCCCTACCCTTTATTTTTTGAGACAGAGGTCTCACTGAGTTGTTCAGGATGACCTTAAATTTGCAACCCTCATGCCTTAGCCTCTTGAGTAATTAGGATTATAGGCATGCACCATCATGCCTGTCTTTTAAGTTTTAATTTGTATAAATTCTCAGGGGTTTTTGTTAGCGCATATTAATTATATACAATATTACATTTACTTGTGGAATTTTCGTGCATGCCCATAACATACTTTGATCATGTCACTCTGCATTACTTTCCTCTGCTCTTCCTCCTCCTCTTGCCCTGATAGTCTTCCTTTTGTCTAGTAATCTCCTTTCTGCTTTCGTGTCCAGACCCGGCACTCTTGGATGTGATTCAGAGCCCTTCATGAGGCTTCATTTTCACTATCCAACTCCACTGCCCACCACTCCCCACAAAACATCCTAAGTAAGCCAGGGCAGACCATCGCAGGCAGCTTCTGTAAAATTACATACTCCCATGACTTTACGAATACTCTTGTCTGCCTGAAATCCTCTTTCCACTCTCACAGTATTTTTTTCTACTCTTTATATTTCAGTCTACCAAAATCCTACTTCAAGGACCAGCCCACTCTCCCCTTCTGTATCAGTCTCACTCTCCTTCCTGTTAAAATGACCAAGCATCTATTAGTTGGATACTAAGAAATTTAAATGAGTAAAACAAGAATTCGATTCTTAAGGAATCTTAATTAAGAAGACATAAATACAAGTAATAAAGCAATCATGGAAATGTAGGAGAAATGCAGAGGTTGTGAGCACTTAGGAGAGAGGGAATAACTTGCTTAATAAGTAGATAAATAATATAATGGGTCTGCAGTATGAACTGAGTTTTTCTTTAGCCAGTTGCCTGGCAGACAAGGGAATTCCAGAAAGAAAGAATAGAACCTATCACAAGTAATAATCTGTCTTCTTCAGGAAACTAAAGAAAGCTGTCATGTAGGGAGACGCGCAGGGAGAAGGAATAATGAGAACTGACCCTTAATGAAGGGTCAGATTATTGGGACGTGTACGTGCGCTGGAGTGTAAACCATCACTTAATAGATACATAGTAGGCATTTAATAAAAGTTCATTGTAATTTAGTGAGGACCCATAAAGCGGTTTTAAGCAGCACCATGGTAGACCTGTTGCAGCAGGCCAGGTAAGAAACAATGAGCACATGGAAAAGACTGTGGCAGTGAGACCAGAGAGCACAGAATGTTTCCAGAGGCAGTGTGGTGTGAGGAGTATTTGAAGGCAACTCCTAACATTCTGAATTGGGCCTGGGAAATGATGGTGCTTCCCTTCCAAGAGGGCGTTATAGTAGGAGACTCAGGTTTTTCTTTTTTTTTCTTTTTTTTTTTTTTTGGTGGAACCGGGGATTGAACTCAGGCCCTTGAGCTTGCCAGGGAAGCGCTTATCCCACTGAGCCATCTCCCCGGCCCCTGACTCAGGTTTTTCTTACCTCACAGAATCACTTGTTTATAAGTGAGTGTCCCTTGTAAGGACAGTGTTGTCCATGGCCTTCTCTTTTATATTACCACTGAGATTTGTAGGGTAGTTGGCTGTCACGTTTCCTAGTTAAGAGGAGATGGATGGTGGCATTTGTTTCTAGCTAAGTTGCAAGTGTTTTGTTTGTTTGTTTGAATTTTAGGGGAGGATCTACAGGGTATTCAAGGTCTCACTGCTAGATCAGACCCATAGTGATCTGCCTGTTCACAGCTGGGCCACCACGCCCTGTCTCTTGCAAGTGTGTTATATCGGGACTTCTCCAAGTTCCCACAGGGGCCCCAGTGAGTGGAATCACCTGTCTACCTCACTAACCTCGTCTCTCAGGAAGGATATATGGCTCTCTGGCTAGAAGAGTGTCTCTTCATTAAAAACTGGATTCAAGGTTCATGTTTTGTCTTAAAAGCCGAGCACATTTTGCATGCTTCTTACTAGTCCATGTTTTAATATAATACTGTCCTCCTTCTACCTTAAAAAAAGAAATTGTTTTTTAGCCAAGCCTGATGACCAGGCCTGCAGTCTCAGGATTTTAGAGGCTGAGGCAGGAGTATGATAAGTGTAAGCCCAACCTGGGCATCTGAACTTAGTAAGGCCCTCTCAAAAAAGGTGAGGGGGCTGGGGATTAACTCAGTGCAAAGGTCTTGGGGTCAGTCTTCAATGCCTGTACACACACACACACACACACACACACACACACTTTTAAAAATTTATTTATTTATTTGGTACAGAGTCTTACTATGCAGCTTAGACTCATAGTGATCCTCCTGCCTCAGCTTCCCCAATGCTAGGATTACAGGTGTTTGCCACCACACCTGGTTTCGGTGGCTGGCATGGTATGCGGTACCAGGCATTGAACCTGGGTCCTTGTGCTTGCCAGCCAGGCACTTAGACTGCCAAACTATCTCCCCAGCCCCCACATACACAAATTTTTATATGATCCTGGTGAAGTAGTTCAGTGGTAAAGTAGTTACCTAGCCTGCAGAAGACCATGTGTTTAATCCTTAGCACCACAATAAATAAATACATAAACACATTTTTCTGGCCTGAAGTGTAGCTCAGTAGTAGAGCATGTATTTAGCTTGTGCAAGACCCTAAGTTCAGTCACTAGCCACATCAAAAAACCCCACTTTTCATTCATTTATACATTGTTTTTTTGTTTTGTTATGTCTTTTTGAGACAGGGTCTCCCTATGCAGTTCAAGCTGGCCTTGAGCTCACTTTGTAGCCTAAGTGGGTCTCAAACTTGCAACTATCCTCCTGTCTCAGCCTCCTGAGTGCTGAAATTACAGGTGTGCACCACCATACCTAGCACTCATTGCTTTGTTTTTTTAATTTTTTATGTATTTGGTACAGGGTCTCACTATGCAGCTGACTTACAGTTATTCTTCTGTTTCAGCCTCCCCAGCGCTGGGATTACAGGCGTGTGCCACCACACCCAGTCTTGGTGGCCAGCGTGACGCACCTGTGGCAGAGTTGGCATAGCATGTGATACCAGGGATTGAACATGGGTCCTTGCACTTGCCAGGCAGGCAGGCACTTAGACCACTAAGCTATCTCTGAAGCCCACTCAAGGTCTTACTGTGTAGTTCAGGCTGGCCTTGAACTCAATATGTAGCTCAGGTTGGCCTTGAACTTTTTTTTTTAAATGTATTTAGTATAGAATCTACAGAGTCTTACCACACAGATTGGACTTGTAGTGATTCTCCTGCTTTCAGCCTCCAAGCGCTGGAATTACAGGTGAATGCCACCATGCCCAGTCTTAATCACTGTCTCAAAGAGTCCCAGGGGCCAGGCTGGCACAGCATGCTGGGATGGAACCCAGTCCCTGCATCTGCCTAAGCAGGCGCTTTAATCTGCTGAGCTCTCTGGCTGGCCCCAATTGTGTTTTTAAATTTTTTTATTTTATGAGGTTGGCCTTGTACTTATTGTAGTATAGCCTCAGCCTCCCAAATTCTGGGATTACAAACATGTACTGCCATACCCAGCTGGTAAATACTCACATACACACATATACACACATTATATACATATACATATTATATATGTATAATATGTATATATATAACCTCTAGCACACTGCTGCATATCCCTAAGCCCCAGCTTGAGAAGAACCACAAAATTTTATTAGCAAAATATTACTAATCCTTTTGGGCTGATAGGAGTGTGAACCTTTAGTTGCATCTACTATAAGACTCAGAGAGGTGCCGGGGTGTATGTGGCCAAGAGTTAAGGAGAGATTCAGCTGTAACCTTATAGGCCTTTCTGTCCTGTGTCCCCAGGTACTGCAAAAATTGGGGAAAACCGTAGAAACCAAAGATGAACGATTTGAACAAAGTGCTGGTAACTTCTACCAACAACAGGTAAGGGGAAGGGCAGAAGAAAGAAGGCGTGAGGGCTGAGAGGCAGAGGAGCGGAGGTGCTGCACACCAAGCGTGCTCACCCACCCTCCTCTCCCAGAACTCAGCCCCAGGGTGACCTGCTGCTTATCCTTCCTCTAGGAACCAGACGCTTCCTCTTCCTGTTCCGATAGACTCAGGATTTGGGGAGATAGGAATTTTCTTTTCTCTTAGTTGATTCCCCTCAGGACTGCCAAGGTTCTGTGGCACCACCAGGTCCTTAAACAACATCAGATTGAGCCCTCGCTACCTAAATTTTGGTGTATACAGCCTCCCAAGGTGCTGCTCCTATTCTAGGTCTCCTCTCATCTCAGTTGTCCCATAATTTCCTTGCTTCTTTTTTTGGCTTTATCTATGCCACGCCAACCCTTTGTTCCACGACATTTCCTCCATCTTTTACTGGTCTTTTCCACCAGTAAACCTCTTGTTTTCCCTGTTCCTTTTATCTTAACAGGATATTAAGGATTGTTTCATACAGAAAATTACACTAAGACATGCATAGCTGGATGTGCTTGTATTCCTAGCACTCTGGACCGTCCAGGCAGGAGGACAGCATGTACAAGCCCAACCTTGGCAACTCTGCAACTGAGTGAGAACCTGTCTCAGAATAAAAAAAAAACAAGGGCTGGGAGTATAGCTCAATATGAAGGCCATTTCCTACTACTGAGGGGGGAAAAAAGTACATAACACATTTAATCTCCATGAGATATTTACCTTACCTTTTAAATTTTCCCCTTGTACTGGGGACTGAGCCCAGAACCTTCGCACCAAGCTATATACATTGTCATTTAAAATTTTTGTTTTCTTTCTTTGAGACAAGGGTCTTGCTAAATTTCTCAGGTGCGGCTTGAGCTTGCAATGCTCATTCCTCAGCCTCCCAGAGTAGAGTTACAGGCATGTGCCACCATGCCAGGTGGATATTTGACTTTCCATCTACCATGTGCAAGACATCATGTTCAGTGCTTCCAGTGTCATTTAATGTTTATACAGCATTGGAATTGTTGCCCCCATGTCTTAGTCTTCTCTCTTTGCTAGGACAAATACTCAACACTCAAAATGAAGGAAAAAGTTTATTTAGCTCACAGTTACTGGAGGTTTCAGTCCATACTCAGCTGGCTCCAAGGCAGAGCGGCACACAGCAGAAAGCAACCTTTCGTGGTGGTGGCAAAGAGCAAGAGCGCAAAGGGAGGGGTAGCAGCAGCTCAAGCAGCTAGCTTCTCTTCCCACCTTACATTGTAATGCAAATTACCTGCCCCAGGGCAGGTGCAGTATCCACACCCGCAATAAACAATCACAAACTACAGAAGGTGCCCCAAGACTGCATGAGGCTTTGAGGGGACAACTATACACAATCCATAACACCCCCCTTTATAATAGAAGAAAGCTATTCATCCAAATGACTGCCTAGCTGCAATGGAGTTCTGACACTATCCAGAGTAAGGCCAGATTTCACAGATTAAGGGCACATCCCACACAGCTGCCTCACTTCATTTACCAACTACAAGCTCCTGGGTTCCAGGCCACCTGGACTTCTGTTCAACATGACATAAATTTGGGTGTTTCTACTTCCTGCTCAGGTTTGATGATTCATTAAAATGACTTTCAGAACTGAAGATAGTACTCTTGTTTGCCATTATGATTTTTAATATAGGATACAAATCAGGACCAGCTGAATGAAGGGGCAACTAAGGCAAGATCTGGGAAAGGGCCAAACACGAAGTTCCTGTGGCTTCAACTCCTGTGTCTCAGCCCATTAGTGTAGGATTATTAAAGCAGGCTCTGGGGTCCAGAGTTCGCCTAACTTTTTTTTTTTTTAAAAAAATGTATCTGGTGGTTGCAGGGTCTCACTATGCAACAGGGACTTGTGGTGATCCTCCTGCTTTCAGCCTCCCCAGTTCTGGAATTACAGGCGTGTGTCACTACTAGGCCCAGACTCTGGCTGGCTCAACCTGCCCTGGGGACAGGGCTGGTGGGGCATGTGGTGCTGGGGATCAAACCACCGGAGGTCCCTGTGCTCTCCTAAGCAGGCGCTTTAGTCCGCTGAGCTATCTCACCAGCCCTCTAGTAACTTCTTTATATGTTGAACCACTGGCTATGTGACTGAGCACATTTCTAGCTTCTCAGAGATTGGGTTATTGATAATACCTGTCTTACAGAGTCTGGCTACTCAAATCACATGGTTCATTTTATAGCCTAACCAGTAACCATCGTGAGTCATTTGATTCATATAAACTCAGTTATGGGCCAGAGGGGATCACCATGAATAATCAGGACTTAGAATGTTGAAGTTATTGCCCAGGACCCAGGGACAAAAGCGGCCAAATTCTGTATATATATTACCAGTTGAATTATTTGGAAAATGATCATTATAGTTAAAGGATATTAACTATATCCTTTTTTGTAATTCAGTAGCTGGCTATCAGAATCATTTGGGAATTTTAAAAATAAAACTTCTAAGAGTCAGGTGTCGTGGTACATGCTTGTAATCCCTACACTTGGTAGGCTGAGGCAGGAGGATCATTGAGAGTTTGAGACCAGCCTGAGCTACAAAGTGAGCTCAAGGTCAGACTGAACTGCATAGCAAGACCCTGTCTCAAAACAACAAGAACAAAACTTTTATTAGTGTGTTTGTAGTACACAGTGATTAGATTCACTGTGGGGAGTAGGTACATGTATATAAGACATTGCAATTCTTTTTCACTTCCTTTCTCTCTTCCATTTCTCCATCCCCTTCAACTTGGGAAATATTTAAAAATATAAAGTCTTACCTGAGTGCATTGGTGCTCCTGTATAATTTCAGCCCTCTGAGAGGCTGAGGCAGAAGGATCACAAGTTCATGCCCAGCTTTGGCAACTTAGCAACTGAGTTAAATCCTATCTGAAAATAAAAATAAAAAAGGGCTGTATGTGCAAAGCGCCTGGGTTCAGCCTGTAATGCTCCATCCCACTCTCCACCGCAAAAGAACATCTCTGGAAATAGAGCCTAAAATCTTACTCTTAAACTCCTTTTTTTTTTTTTTTTTTACATCAGACCCTCATGATGTAATTCAGGCTGGCCTTGAACTCACTATGTAACTACTTGTGGCTTTGAGTGCAAGACAGCCCTCCTGTCTCAGCCTCAATGTGCTGGATTACAGTAGTGTGTTACTACACTATTTTTTACTAGAAATTTTCAAATACAACAAAGAAAGAGAAATTGACATAATGAACCCAGCTTCAGAATTTATCAAATCATAGGAAATCTCATTTCATCTATATCTCTACTCACTTTTTTTCCTGTCCTTGATTTTTAAAAAAAATTTGGATATATATATATATTAAGGACAGGGTCTGCTGGGTCTATAGGGTCTCACTATGTAGATCCGATTCATGGTGATTCTCCTGTTTTCAGCCTCCCAAGTGCTGGGATTACAGGCCCACTACCACACCCAAAGTCAGTTGCTATCTTAGTGTGCCTCGGGAGTGGGGCTAGCACAGCAGGCCGGAATCGAATCCAGGTCTCTGTGCTCTGCCTAAGCAGGAGCTTTAGTCCACTGAGCTATCAGGCCAGCCCTTGGCAGAACAGTATTTTTTTAATTCTTTTTTTTTTTTTTTTTTTTTTTTCTTTTTTTGCGGAACCGGGGATTGAACTCAGGCCTTTGCACTTGCCAGGGAAGCGCTTATTCCACTGAGCCTTCTCCCTGGCCCGACAATTTTTCACTAGTCCATGTTTGCAGTACAAAATGATTACCTTCATCATGGTGAGTTGGTGCATGTACATACTCTTTCTCCCCTCCTCTCTCCTTCCTTTCCTTACCCCTCCCTGCATCTCTTGGATCCCTTCATCATTTTGGACATGTTTATAGTACAAAATGATCACGCTTTCGTGAGGAATTCACACACACACACACACACACACACACACACACACACGTTTCATTTTTTTTTTTATCCCAGGCCCCTCCCCTGCCTCCTGCCTTCTCCATCTTTTTTCACCTTTGTATATACAAAGGCTACATCTTACTATCTCCTATTATCAATCTTTTGGGTTTTTTTCTCTTTATATTTTACGTTTCTCATGCAGTATTTTGGTTTCGTTTTTTTGATTCTTTTGGAAATAGGGTTTTACCATGTAGTTTCAGCTGGCCTTGACTGAGTCATCCAGGCTGGACTCTAGCTTGCAGTGATCCTCCCACCTCAGCCTCTAAGTGCTATGATAACAGGCACTCCCCACACTCCCAGCCAGATGTTGATTCTTGATGTTATTTCTTATACAATTGGTGTTCTGTTCAGAAAGTTCTTACCTGTGCCTATGTTTTCAGTAGTTTTCCCTGCTTTACCTTTCAGCAGGCTGTTTCTGTTTTAATATTCAGATCTTTGACCCATTTTGATTTGTTTAGTAGACAGTGAGAGAAAAAGATGTCATGTCAATCTTCTGCATGTGGATAGCCAATTTTTGCTAGTACCCTGTCCTTGATTTTTATAGTTATCATTTCATTCATAAAATTTTCATTCTCCACCTGTAAAGATTAAGACTGTTAAAATGTAACTGCGATACCTGAAAATGTTTTTCTATAAAAACATTTACTCACTACAGCAAAGCAGAAAGTACATCCAGAAAAAAAGAGAAGTTTGGCATTGATAAGTAGAGCAGAGACCTTGCTTAGCATATAGGAGAGGCTCTAGGTTAGATTCCCGACATTGCAAAAAAAAGAAAGAAAATGAACTTAGGAACAGTAATGAGTTCACACTTCCTAAGCTACAACCATTGTTCTCTTATATCCTTACAATTATTTTGTTATATATGTATGTGATATCTAAATCTATGCAGAATAATTAACGTAGGTTTACTAAAATGAGATTGTGCTATGCGTGGTGTTTGTTTTGTTTTATACTGGGACTGTAGGCAAGTTATTAAAGTTGTTTTCAAAGGTATGCATATTGTTTTTAAAAATTTTTTTTCATTCATATGGTTTTGCAATCTTCTTCCTCTTCTTCTTCTTCTTCTTATTATTATTATGAGATAGGGTATCACAATTCAGGCTGGCTTTGAATTCACGGTGTAGCCCAGACTGGCCTCAAATTCCTAGTGATACTCCTGCCTCTGCCTCCCAAGTGCTGGAATTATAGGTGTGAGCCACCATGCCCGGCACTTTTTTTTTCCATTTAATAACACAAGTATCATTTCAGCTATCCCAAATTCTTCCACTAAAATCTAGGTTTTAGTGCTATCTTAAAAAAAAAAAAATCTCTCAATATAAAATATCCAATTCAGCCAGGCCTTGTGACACATAGCTATAAACCCAATTACTGTCTTAGGCAGAGACAGGAAGATTGTAATTTCAAGACCAGTCTTAGCGATTTAGTGAGATATTGTCTCAAAATAAAATTTAAGAAGAGCTAGGGACATAGCTCAGTGATAGAGTGCATTCCTACCGGACAGAAACCCCTAGGTTCGGTTCCTAGTAGCAGACACACAATTGCAATCAAGCGGGTGTTGCTCCATGGAAAGATGCTTGCCTAGAATGTGAAAGGCCCTAGGTTCCATCCTTAGCACTGCAAGCAAAAAAAAAGCAAGATAAAACAGCCCTGTTCCAATTCCCCTGATTGTCTATGGTCATACCACCCTGAACGCGCCTGATCTCGTCCAATTCCCCTGATTGAGTCATCTTTTTTTAAAAAGCAGCTGAAATCAGCAGTTTTGGGGCCGGGGAGATTGCTCAGCAGAATAAGCATTTGCCTGGCAGGCACAAGGGCCTGAGTTCAACCTTTTATTAATAGTTTCTCCCTGAACTCCCAACTTCCTAGCTTAGTTTCAAGGCCTTGCCCCTTGCCTATGTGCCTGGTCAAATTTCCATAGGTAGATTTTCTTTGAAGCTCTGCTTGTTTCCCCTTTATCTTCTCTTCAAAACATACTGCATAGCAAGAATTATTTTCCTCAAGCAGCACTTAATCTCTTACTTCTGGTACTGACAACTACTTCCAATTTATTGCCTTTAAAATCTAAAGTCTAGTTTCATCTTTCCCTCCTGAATCTCCTTTAGAGCATTTGATTTGGGGCTTGATCACACTATGTTTGTTTGTTTTGCTGAGTAGGTTTCTATGTTCTAGCAAATAGGGAGCCACCGGACAAGGACTTCTTCCCTATCCTCAGTACCTTGGTTTCTCAGGATCTAGCTCTTTCTGCTTATGACAAAGTTCCACAGTCCCTGGCTCATTAGTTGAGGGCTGTGACTGTTTGTATAAGGGACAGGAAGGGCTGACTCAGACTCTTTATGACAGTAGCAAGAATTTGGCAAGGTTTCAGAGAGCAAAAGTGATAAAATCATCAGACCTCCAGTGAGGAATGACCTTAGCCTGCATGTATACAGTATTTATACTTATCTGCATTTATACAGTAGGTGAGGGAACTGAAGCCAAGGTAGGGGAACAACTTGAGAGTTGACAGAAGAGCCAAGTTGCTTGACTTGTAGATGAGGGTCCCTAGGATTGAGTGTCACATCTGTCAGGAAAGGAGAAGGTGCTGGAATTAGTTAACCTGGAGCCATTTCAGATCTGAGAGGTAAAATAACCAGAGCTGTCCCATCTTCCTTGACCTTTCCTCCTGCCACACTGACCTCCCCACATACCTTCCCATACTTCATCTCTTCAGACAGAACATAAAGGCAAAACTTGGTGACCAGAAGGCATTTCTCAAACACAGAAATGGAAGTGGGCTTTGTGAGGTGCAGCGGCAGGAAGAAGGCATTCACACTTTCCAACTATGGAGCAGAATAATACAAAATAAATAAAATGAACCAAATAAGTCTCCAAGATTTTTTCAAAGCTCTTCAAAAACTTTGCTATCACAGTTTAAAAACTCACAAACTTATACCTGTCATATTCATGTTTGTTTAATTTGAGAGAGTCTTACTATGTCAATCAGTCTGGCATTGAATTCACTGTACTGCCCAGACTGGCTTTGAACTCAGCAATTTTCCTGCCTTACCCTCTGAAATGTGATTGCAAGCATGTACTATGATACTCAGCTGCATATTAATGTTTTTTTGTTTTTGTTTTTGTTTTGTTTTGAGACAGGGTCTCACTGTGTAATGCAGGCTGGCCTTGAACTTGCTTATGTTGCCCAGGCTGGCCTCAAACTCATGGGAGCAATCCTCCTGCCTCAACCTCCCAAGAGCTGGGATTATAGGCATGCAGTGCCACATCCAACTGCATATCTATGTTCAAAAGACATTGTATAAAATGTTACTTAACATCTTAGGCTCTGTAAGCTTTTTTATGAGAATAAAAAAGCAAGAAGGAAGTGAGACATCATTCCTGGTGAGTCCCATTTCTGAATTTTGTAAACTGTCTCCATTATACTATTGAAAATACTTTCTTAACATCACTAGTGACCTCCAGCCATCCAGTCTGGTAGCTTTATTGATTTTCCCTGCATTTGGACCTCGCTGTAGCATTGCACTCTTTGCTGATCATTTCTTTAATGTTCTCTTGATCCTCACTTGCTGTGATACACAGTGCAGTCCCACTTCTCCTAGTGCCTTCAGCTCTGTGGAGTCTCTCTGTGCCCTGTGGCCCTTCCGCTTGGCTTTTAGCCAGAGGGACTTTCAACCTCAAGTATGGTTAGAAATTTGGATCGGCTTAGAAGTACACTCTGCAGGCAAGATGACAGTTGAAACAATTAGCCTTGTTTCCTGTGTTTATTTGACCAAGAAGACATAGGTTTTCTGTTGCTAAAATTAAAGAATAATGACCTTTCTCTCCCAGGGGCAATTAAGTCATTAGATAGATTTTTCCGTATTTTTTTCTTTTCTTTATAGAAATTATTTATACTTTTGTTGATTGATAGCCTGTCTGATAGTTAAGTTCACAAAAAATACAGTATTTCCTAGTTTACTGTATAATATACCTTTTTTTCAAACACTCCATCCCCTAAACTGGTCTGTTCTGATCAAGGTGAGCTCTGTACAGTACCCTATGAGAAAAAACATGCCAAAAACTGTCTTCAAATATGTGCAAAGGAGAAAATAGATCTCTGTGGGTACGAAAGACCAACCTAAGATTTTTGGGCAAAAGTCCTAATAGGAGTATTTAAAAATGAAGTTGTAGGGCTGGGGAGATAGCTCAGTGGCACAGCGCCTTCCTGGCAAGTGCAAGGTCCTTAGTTGGATTCCTGGTACACCCCCACAAAAAACAAACAAACAAACAAAAAAAGAAATTGTAGCTGGGCCTTGTTGTAATCTCAGTCCTTGGAGGCTGGGGAAGGAAGATCAGGAGCTATATAGCAAGACCCTGTCTCAAAAGAAGTAAACAAATAAAGCAAGTGCTTGTCAGGCAATAGGTTACTAGTTTCTATTCCTGGAAGTATTAAAGAAGCAAAAGCAATAAACATCAGTTATAATAAAAGCATTTCATTATCAGATGGAGGTATCTAGGTGATACCTTCCTCCCCTTTTGCCACTTGTTTGCTAATTTTATTTTTTTGAGACAAGTCCTCTTAATGTTACCAATACTGGCCTCGAACTTTCTGGGCTCAACTCATCTTCCTGCCCTAGACTCTTGAATGCCTAGGATTGTAGGGGCACCATACCCAGCTCCACTATTTTTAGAAAGAGGAGACCTATTCTGAGTTTGGGTATTCTAGCCTCCCCAAAATAAGAAAATTCAGACATAAGAATAAAGGTAGAAACAGGGATAGTTCAGTAGAACTATAGAGGGAGACACTGGGATTAAGCAGAAGCTGAATCAGTGAGTAGGCTTGTTGGAGAATAGGCAGGTGACCGATGAAGGGTAAAGCAAAGCATGGTGAAAGATGGCAGGAAGAAGAAGAGGGTCTGTGTGAGCACCCACAGCAGGAGCTGACCTCAGGTCTGCACAAAATGGTGGCAGTTTGCCCTGAGAGCGGAGTGTGAGACAGAGGGTCACATAGATCTGTGGCACACGTGCCTCAGCAGGCTGTCTGTATCATTGAAAGCTCTGAAAGGTTTGCCATTGCTAACACAGATAGTATCAAATAGAAGACACTTAAATGTCAACAGAAGAGCTTGGGCATAAGCTCCTGTTCCCTGGGAGGGACAACTAAAAGAAAAAAGAAACGTCAATGAAACTCGCTACAACTGCCCAACTTAAGAGTTGATCTGTAAACAGGCGGATCACTATGAGTCGGATCTAGTAGTGAGACCCTGAACACCCTGTAGACCCTTCCCCCTGCCCAAAAAAAAAAAAAAAATTTGATTTACAACTTCAGATTGAACCCACGCCCTTGCACTTGCCAAGCAGGCGCTTAGACCGCTGAGCTATCTTCCCAGCAGGATTCTCTGTGGTTTTCATCCTCTTGCCCTCTTGAACATTTTATGAAAGTTTACTTATGAAGATTAGTTTTTTTTGTGTGGGTTTCATTTTTGTTTTGTTTTTTGAGATGGGGGTCTTGCTATGTAGTTCAAATCAGCCTTGAATTCACTGTGTAGCCCAGACTAACCTAACGATTAATGTATAATAATTGTGAATTGTTAAAAAAAATAACAGGGGTGAGTTATATATTTGATGTACTTTTCAACTTTGACCTCTAGAGTATCTTTTAAAACATATTTCTTTTTTTTTTTTTTTTTTTTTGCGGAACCAGGGACTGAACTCAGGCCCTTGCACTTGCCAGGCAAGCGCTTATCCTACTGAGCTATTTCTCTGGCCCCTAAAACATATTTCTTTATAGTCACTAAAGCTGCTCTTCTCTTTCAGTCAGAAGGCCACAAGCTGTACAAGGACTTGAAGAACTTCCTTAGTGCAGTCAAAGGTGGGTACTATAGCACAGGAGAATCCAGAGGGCATTTATGCAGATGCCGGGAGGCCTGGGGGAAGAAAATCAACCAGCCCAGAGACTTTAGCACTTGTTTGCCCTTGGCTCTTGGAACTCTCTGGGCCTAGAGGGAATGCCATTTCCCCTCAGAGCCCTACCAGCTAACCTTTTGAGTTTGTCCTTCTAAGCCACTGATTTATCACCTATATGATTACGTCAGATAACATTTTGGAAAGCCTGATGGTAGAACTGAATTCTCTTTCAGTAATACACGAAAGTTCCAAGAGAATGTCAGAGACACTGCAGGAGATCTATAGCAGCGAGTGGGATGGGCACGAGGAGCTGAAGGCCATCATAGGGGTAAGGGGAATCTGACTCTGTGACCCTTCACTGTGGACTTCTGTACTCATCTTGACCTGACCTGAGCTTCTCCATCCAAGAAAATAGGGAAACAAAGACTCTGGTTCACATTGTCCATTTGTGTAGTCACTAGGTGGTAGGAAAAAGCTGCAGCATTAAGATCAAAATAAGTTGTCCCTTACTTGTACATTCCCTGCTATTGTTTAA